AGAGTATAAAGAAAGAAATTTGAGAATAAGATATGAAAGCTAGTAAATCAGGGTATATTTCAATAGTGTTTCTTCCGTCCTTACAATTGTTTGTGACTTTCCCTTTTATAGCCATTTTGGGAATACAGACTTTACCTTTGTCATAATAAGATAATTATGGGCAGTTAATGACTTTAAATGTTACGTTATGTAATCATATACATTAAATACATATTCTTAACGTTTCTCGCATTAAATGATGTATCTGGGCTCTTATTTGCTGTCAGATTCATTCATTTGATTCTTCACGGTCTTTGCGGTTTAAATGCCTTGAACGGGTACGAGCATTGAATGTCTCACATGACTGCTCGTGTCTCTTCTGTTTAACTTGCCCGTGTCTGGTGCTGCTCGTACCAATTGAACAACCTTAATTCTTTGACTGTTTGACCAGTCTACGTGTCATGACACGTCATCTCCAATATGCAGAGTAAATTAATTTTTCCCAATACAAATGAATCGCTCATAAATGGTCATGCAAGCGAGAAATAAATTTGAGAATTAACAAGAGAATCTATCTCAATAAAGATGATGTTGCCGTGGACATCAATTAACTAAATAGAATTTCAACCAGCAAAAAGTCAAAAGAAGAATTTCAAAAAGGAGTCCTCAATCTTTTCATATACCATATTTTATATTAATCCAGAAAGTCGTAAGATGTTTCAAGCCACCTGAATTAAATTAGAAATTTCGCATTAGAACTTTAGTCAAAAGCAACTTCTTTTTGGTCAGCTTCACATTACCTTATTTTCCCCTATATAATGATCCAGGAGTTTTCTGAATTTGCTCATCAACTTATATAGGCTATAGCAAAACAATTCAACAGTTGGAGATATAATGAAGATGGCAGCAACCAAAATCTTGTTCATTTCTTTTCTTTTCCTTTCAAGTGCATTTCTTGCAAGATCTGCAGAAGTTGGTACGTCAAAACTATTAATAAATTGGCTCCAGTGTCTTTTGAATTCTGCATATTTGATTTTAGTGCGTGCATGTCTCTTATTTTTGGTGATTTCCTTTATATACAGTCAGAATGAGTGTGATCATTTTTATATGTATATGCATTTTGATATTTTTTTAATATATGTATACATAGTTCGATTGAAGTAAATGGTTGAGTTGAACTCGCAGAACTCAATATATCCTAGATCCGCGTCTGTTTATTGTTATGATTTTCTTATTGTCCGGAAAATTGTAGATGATGAGAGTGAGTTTAGTTACGATGAAAAAAGCGAGAATGGACCAGCTAAGTGGGGCAAGATTCATCCAGAATGGAGCACCTGCAATACTGGAAAATTGCAGTCTCCAATTGATCTTCTTAACAAAAGGGTTGAAGTAGTATCAAACTTGGGAAAACTTCGTAAGCATTACAAACCATCCAATGCCACTCTCTTGAACAGAGGCCACGATATGATGGTAAATTGATAATTATGGATTAGTACTAGTACAATATTTAAGAGACTCCTCAATCGTGATATTGAAATCATTTATTTTCAAATGCAGTTGAGATTGGAAGGTGGTGGAGGATACTTGAAGATAAATGGAACTCAATATCAACTTAAACAATGTCATTGGCACACACCTTCTGAACACACTATCAATGGAAAAAGGTACTCCCATCCCTACCTTATATATATATATATATATTGATGTTATATAATTCCTCGGCGAATTTTTATTCTAGTTTCTCTTTCTCTTCTTTTTTTTATTGATTTATTTCCTCAATATCAACAAATGTAGGTTTAACTTGGAGGCTCATTTAGTACATGAAAGCGATGATGGAAAGACTGCTGTAATTGGAATCATGTACAAGATTGGACGGCCTGATTCCTTCTTATCTATGGTAAACACCAATATATTTATATCGTATAACACAAAGGATTTAACTTATATATCACTGACGATTTTTTAAAAAATTTAGACTATTAGAACAATTTAACCTGCTAGCTAAGTTGTAGAAGGTCATTTTGCCTTATTTTTCAGGTTCTTTACGCTGTTTTCTTTTTACCACAGATAGAGAAGGATTTGAAAGCTCTTGCCAGTACAAAAGGTGTAGAGAGGGCCATTGGAACTATTGATCCAAAGCTAATAAAAATGGATGGAAAAAAATATTATAGGTATATTGGCTCCCTAACAGTACCGCCTTGCACTGAAGATGTTGTCTGGACTATTGATAGAAAGGTAATCAAGTATGCTCAACTCGTTACGTAAATTTTATGTAAAAGAATTTCAATTTGAAATTACTTAATTAATTTAATGTGAATATGTTTCTCAGGTGAAAACTATAACGAAAAGACAAATGAAACTGATCCGAGAAGCTGTTCATGACGTGAGTTGCTTCCCAAAATATTACTAGCAATTAAGATTTTTTTTTTTTTTTCTCTTAATTATATTATCTTCCCTTATAGTTCTTTATTTGGATCCAACTCTTATTAAACAAAGGTTTTCATGTGATAGACTTTTCAGACTTAAAAACTTTTAATGTTCAATTATTTGTGTAATTCTAAAAGGAACTGAAAAACTCAAGAATCTACTTATAAAGCAATGTTACATTTCTTACAGGAATCTGAAACCAATGCCAGACCAGCTCAGCCAGTAAACAGACGTCCTATCAAATTCTACAAACCGGAAGAAAGGCCCTGAAAATGAAGTGAACTGATTCTTTAGCCATAGTTCAAAAGGCAGACCTCACGCTCTCTCTAAATTTAGCTGCATGACGTGGTTATTATCTACTTGTAGTATATATTTTAGGGAAAATTTCACAACTGGGCTCCATACTTTTCAATTTTATAGCCCATATTTCAATTTACAACCAACTAGCCCATAAATAATAGGCTAAGATTCAATATCCAACTCCGATAGGTTCTCAAAATTACTATTTAATATTTAAAAAAGATTCCTCAAGCTTTTAAATTACTTTTCGACTCAGTAATTGTGACTCAAATATTAATTCAACAAACCAACTTCATTTGGGTGGTGAAAATTAGATTTTTAACAAGCTTAAATATGTGGGTTTAAATTTCGAATTTGATTTTATGAAAAATTTGGAGTGGGTGTTATTTAGACTTGTTAGAAATAGTATAAGGAGGTTGTATATAAAATTTGAAGTCATTTAATGGAGATTTGGACTGGTTTTGAATAAGAATTGCAACTGAAAATCGTGGAAGAAGTTCGTCTACAGACGCTTGTATAAAGGTGTATAAAAGTGTATAACAGTGCATAAGGTGTGTTTCTACACTCATATACAATATTATACAAAATTATACATAATTATACAAAAAACTGACTTCGTCTTCTTTCTTGCGTCTTTTCTGAAATTTAATTCAAATCTTGCTCAAATCTACTCCAAATCACTTCAAATTTAATTTTTGTACTCCTTTTGATAATTTCAATCAATTGGAACAATACCCAATCCAAACAACTAACAAATTCAGAACAACCCATTTTCAAAAGCAAAGCTTTGAATGATCTTCAATGGTGGACTTCTACTCTTCAATTTTCTTTCATTGCAAGCAGGTGACACAAGAGGAGAAGCAAAAAATACACGGTCCTTTGAAGCATATGTAAAAGATGTGAGAAGAAGAGAGAGTGAAAGCAATAGTTGTGAGAACAAAGAATTAACTCCATAGCTTTTAGAAGCAATTGTTGTAAAAACATATATTTTGAATTTGCAAGTGCTTTCAAAATATGTACAGTGTGGGCTAGGTGGGGTAAAACTTAAAAATATGGGCCATTTTTTGTTATGGTGTGAAGTCATGTGTATTTTCTTATAATTCTTTCTATATTTTATACTAGAAATGGCTTAATGTCACAGATGATTCTATTAATATCTTCCTTATTGTATTTATTCATCGGATTATAATAATAAATGCGACAAATTTGTTTACTTTTGTGAGCCTCGAATTTGTCTGCATTTCTTCCAGCATATATCCGACAAGAAGAATACAATTTGATTTGTTGGTAGGAGTAGTACTTGATAGTGAAAGCAAAATCCTTAGTCAATTTTGTCTAGGCGAAACATCCTGCTGTGTGAAATGTTTGAGTAATACGGTTTCGACCTTTATACGACTAGTCCGCAGACAGGAAAAAAAAAAACCTAATTTATATGGGGTCATAACTCATAAGAATCTTACTTTAAAAATAAAATAAAAAAGATTCCATGACTAGTAGAGGGCATTGCTGAACTCCTTTAGCAAAGATTAAAATTTTGGTTATGAGATATATTTTTACGGAGTTCTAAATAGGTGAGGCCAAAAATCCAGAACATATACTATTCAATTTCCTTGAACATCTCCGACGTCTTAAATTGCCTTAACATAATATTAGTCAAATTTTTATAATTCTCTACGGCTCCCCCCAAACAAAATTATCCTCTAAATTCTTTTTCCTTCAACCGACAAATTAAAGCCAATTCTGGTGGTCTTGAAAAATAAATATTCAATAACTAGGGAAGACTATTCGAAGATAGAGAGCATATACACGGTAAAGAAAAACAAAAAGGGCGATAATAGAGTTCGGAAAATTGTTATTTAAATGAAGTGATGTCACAAACATTTGAAAATTTTACATCAGGAACTTGAAAATGGTAGAGTAAAAACGAGAGAAATGGTTGAAAAGCAAACAAAAGGTGCCATCTTTCGGCTTCCAGGTAAACTGTAATCTTCATGAATTGACTATTAAACTATAATAAGCATTATTTAACATCATATACATTTTTTTTTTCTTGGACAGAAAGTCTCCAACTCCCTTAGGCCTATTGTGTTATGTTATTTGCCGTTCTAAAGGTATAACTCAAACCCGAAATTCAAATTACAGAAAGAGAAGCCAATGCGCATTGCTTACAAAGTATACTGGCACATCTGCTACGTATACATGTACAAGGCATGCGCATTTTGCTAGCAATATTCATCACTCACTGCAAGCTTAATAGTTCGTCTCATCGGAAGATTGTTCCCTGGGAAAAAGAAGAAAGAAAAAAATAGAATTTGCATTCGATGACGAAATAAAATTTCAGCATTCACTATAACATCCACCAATTTGAGCGCCCACAACAATAACAAGAAGCTGTAAATACATCCGGGAGGTTATTAAGTAAAAGCATATCAACTCGCAGTAGATTACATTTTCTAGAATTTAAAAGAATAAAAATAAAAGTAAAGTTTGTACTGAAGTTCTTCTGATGTCTTTGCAGTCATGGTAGAAAGGGAATTCATATAAGAGCAATTGGATGACGTAATCTCAAACCAATTCGGATCTGATTTCCACAGATGATAAAGTTGAACTATGATCGTCCTATAGTATCTTACTCGCACTATGCTTGCACCACATAAACTGTATTCAAGACAAAATTTAACTTTGTTCTGTTTGAACAATACATCCGAAATTATAATCTAAACTTTCCACAACTGCCAATCGCTACCAATAATTAAAGAACCCAGGAAGCATATAAAAATTCCAAAACATGTTACAACAAACATCCTCGGCTTCTAATGATGTCTCCAGGGAATATAAGACTTCTCTAAACAGGAATAAGGCTCTAATTTGGACAAGGTCATACTTAATAATCATTGAGGACCTTCTTAAAAAAATTAAACAAGGTGATAGAAAAAGAAAAGGCCTAACTATGGTAAACCGAAAAAGTCGTTTACCCTTAACAAATTAAACAAAGTAAAAGTTGCTACTGAACCTATTCAAACATCTAAAATTATTCAGACCTCATCATTTCCATTTCCTAGTTACTGGAGAAAAAGAAATAAATTCTAGCTACTAATAGTGATGCCTAAGATACTTGCAAAGGCAATGGAGGAGCGCAACCATGGCTATCTACCTTTGCACTATCATTTCAAGCTCCGACTTATCTGAAGATATGGAAAATCAAACTTACCTAAGTAGCATGGAGAATAACATCGGTCACGCAATGTTAATCTTATCTGCTAAGTAGAAAAACTTGGCGAAATGTAAACGCATTGGTACAGAGCACATTGGCACATTAGAGGAGCTTATTGCAGAATAAACACTGCAATAATATCAGCAACCCTATTTCAAACGAGAGATATTGCAATAAAAAGATGATACACACAACAAGAATAAATAACATATAGCAGGAAACACTTCTATTAATGAGCACCAACCTATAAGTTTGAGAAAGAACTCGCAAGTTGTTTAACTTGTGCTTCAGCCCCATTCACCCAAGAGGAAATGAGATGATGAGCAATTGCAAAGGGCCCAGGGATAAACATAGGAGCAAGTTCCCCACTTTCCACATTGAAGTCGGAAGACAAGCTCTGTCCTCTTTCTACACCCTTGCACATTTGGTCCACTTTACCTGCGGCAGTCCTTTGTGCCTTCTTGTATTCAGCAAATGTCAGCGCCTTTTTCACATCTTCTCTGCTGTGCCATCTAGCATCTGGATCACAGGTTGATTCACACTCACAAAAAGTAGAAAATGGCCATAACCAAAATATAAGGTGGAATCCACACATAATAAGTCAAGGGGCCAATGATAAATTCTAGAGACCTACCATCTGAATTCTTTTCCAAGAGGCCCTGTTTTGCCACATCCCCCACCCCCACCCCCACCCCCACCCCCACCCCACACAAAAAAAATGAGAGCGGGGGCTCTGTGGGAGGGGAATTTTCCTTCGAACCTTTGAGAAGAAAATCAATCATAATAAAAGATTTTTAAGTTACCTTCTAATTCCACCTTATCCACATTAATATCCAGCGATTTTGCATACGCAAAGAATCCCACCATAAGCTGGCACGGCATGCTGCTAGGTCCAACTGCAAAGGAACCATACAGTTCGTCCATAATCACAGAAGGAAAAGAAAAATGGCATGCAAGAAATATATAAATACACACACAATATATATATATATATATATATACACACACACAGTAACAACAACTAGTGAGAAAAGGAAACCTCTAAAGACCCATTTCATGAAGCAACTAATTGGCGCACAATCAGATCAGCAATGTTTAAAAGGAAAGGAAAGTTAATATGCATCTCCCGTTAACCCATGCATCAATATGCATCACACCTCCTCTAAGAAAGGGTATGGAAGAGATTGAGCCACTTTATTCACAGAGTGAAGCAGGAACAACTGTTGGCGAGATCTTAAAGTGAATATGGCATGTATAGCGAGACCAGCCATTGGCTCGTCGCTGACAGCACCAATCAGACATGAAAATAACAACATTTGTATATTGAATGTAGAATTTATCATTAGTACTAAATTCATACTCCCTCCGTCCTAGTTTATGCAAAGGTGTTTGACTGGAACGAACTTTAAGAAATAAAGAAGACTTTTGAAACTTGAGGTCTAAAATAAACCATAGAAAAGTGTGGCTAGAGATCATCACATTAAGGGTAAAAAGAGAATTTTAAAATTGAATTGTTACTAAACATAGAAATATATCATTCTTTTTGGGACTAACTAAAAAGGAAAAAGTGTCACATAAATTGGAATGGAGGGAATATATGTTTTGCATTTTCTAAAAAATTTCTTAAATTGTGTGATTCACTTCTCTCTTTTCGTTTCAAGCTCCACGGACCTGGTCGCTTTTTAACGCTTCCTTCTTAAGAATAACTGATTCCAGAATTACTTTACATCATAAAAAGCAATGTGTTTAAGATTATATAAAATAAGAAGTGCCAAAAAGATGCACGGGAACAGACAGCGCACATCTGTTTCCAAGAACATTACCAGGCCATGGCTGAGAACTATGGTACACAACTTGTCCAACTTCAATACCAGTCTCCTCCCATGTTTCTCTTCTCACAGCCTCTTCCAAACTTTCTCCTGGCTAGTAACAAATTGAGAAAGTAATTAACATGTATCCAGAAAAAAATTGTGAGTGACGGGATCGAAAATCAATGCCTGCTGATTACCCGGGACAGCAAACCAACCCGGAAAAAAAAAAAAAAAAGAGAAGCCGAAATACTATGCAGGAAATTGAAATACTCCCTCCATTCCATATTCTGTGACAATGTTTCCTTTTTGATTTGTTCCAACAAATTGACACAATTTCTTTTTTACGATAAGACATTGTCATTTGTAGACCACAAGATACTAAGATATTTTGGCTACGATACATATATTTAGCATGTGTCAAAAGTCTTGCCTTTTTTTTACTTGAACTCAGTACCTTGTCAAACATCATAATATGAGATGAAATAGAGGAAGTTAATAAAAATTGACCAAGGGCTAAAGTAAATAGTAACTAATATCAGGAATGAAGTTCTAGTGGCTAAAATTTCTTTTTCACCGTGGACAACATCCATGGGGATCAAAACTTATGAATGCTACCTTTTACTAAACTAAGTAATTGCATAAATGAGTAAGACAAACTATGGGCAGCTTGAAAATGCATGGCATGCATACTTCTGCTGCTCTAGGCCTTAAAATCAAAAGTATGCGACATACCTCCATGAAACCAGCTAGACAACTCCACATGCGAGGTACAAATCTCGACTGCCTACTTAATAGCACTCGGTCATTCTCTTTGTCAATAACTAACATAATGACAACCTGTTGCAAGAGCAAGATGCCAAAAGAAAGTTAGGATTCTCATGTAGCATTTCAATATGTAATTCCCACAACCTCTTCCACAAAACAAAGAAAAACAAGTAAACCAAATAAGAGTGCAACCACAAGCAACATAATTAATCAGAGAGAAGAAAATGATTGACATACTGGATCAACTCGAGGATAAATTTTCTTCTTGCACAACTCATTAGAGCATTGTTTCCGTCTCCCAGCATCAATTAAATTGTTCTTAACTCCACAAAATCCACAAAAACGTGATACCGTATGCCATTCTAGTAATGATCTGGCCTGGTAAAATGCCAAAGCCGAAAAAGTAAAATAGCATCAGTCAAACATGACCAATTTTTAGCATAAGTATACTAATAACTAACAACTAAAACAGAATGCTACTCAGTACTCAATATTTGGATATGCACAGCTCAACAATGACAATGATGTGGCAACTGTAACCCAAATTCATTTGCCATTTATCAGAAGAAGAAAAAACTGATGCTAGATGGTACTATCAGGACTCTTGGACACATCACACCATGTCTGCACTGCCTGAAACAACCAACCCTTAGAGCACTCTAAATATGACTTTGGTAAAGAAGCTCCCGTTTTGGCCATAGATTTTGGCTTCATTTTTTCAAAAAAAAATTGAAAACATTGTTTGTTTATGAAATATGATCATGTTTTGGGGGAAAAATTTTCAAAAATTTACAAGCAAAATTTTTCTTCCACTCAAAACTTGAACTTTTCTTCAAATAAAATGCATGTCCAAACACAACCTCAACTTTCAAAAATTATTTTTCAACACAACTTTAAAAATTCTTTTTTCAAGTTTCAATCAAATCTATGTCCAAACGATAGCTTAAGCTACTAAAGGTCATAGGGATTAGGGGGGTTATCCCAGTATAAAATTTGGGAACAAATTTGTCTAGTGTTTGATTATGGGTATTGGCTAAAACCAGGATAAATTTATGCCAAAATCCTGGGATTATCCATCCCATATAGGAGGTTCAATTATAATCCTGGATAACCTTGTCTTGAACCAAACGACCCCTAAAGTTTGAAATGCACATTTACAATGTGACATTAACTGCATAACCAGGTTTGCAGTTGTAGATAGAGATTAGCAGCCATTCTAAGCCTAGTTACCACATCTTTTTCACCTACAAGAATCTACATATCTAAATATAGATAAAATGAGCTACCTGAAAAAGATACATGGGTTTAAAATACCAGCAGGCAGTGGCTAGTTTATGAATCTGCTTCAACTACCTTAATATGCCTAGTTAATTCAGATACCTACTAATCACAATGCAGGCCTCTAGAACAGCTATAGGTGATCCAATTCAACAAGAAATGATAAAAGATGGATTTTGTTGAAATTGTAATGAAAAGGGAATACATACATGACCAGCAATAGCAAGTTGAGCCATGGCAGAAGCATTTTCCCAATCAGAGGCAACCATGAGAGTTCTGAGCTCAACAAAGCAAAATTGCTTAGCACCCAATTCATTTACCAATAGACTACCAGCCTCTGTGACATCAATAGCCCAGTACACAACATAAACACCATCACCATCGCTCTCAGAATCCGAACCTAAGTAAACCAAAGAATCTTCACTCAATTTAACCTCAGAAGAATTCTCCAAGAATGCCTTACAATCGTTAAAACTCAACCAAGCCAAGTGCCAATTAGGCTCAGTTGAATTCTTGAGTGAGCCGGTTAGAGGCCTTCCCTTTCTGAAAGGCAAGATCTTGAAATTAGGGGAAGGGTTATCTGTATGTCCTTTTAAAAGAAGGGTTTTAAGGGTGTGAAGAGCAGAGGCTGGTGAAAATGGATCACTTGGTTTAGGGGTTTTTAGCTTTATGGGGTTGACTGCAAAGGCATGAGTCTTGAACAAATTCATGGACAAGTGTGGGTGACTGTGTAGTAATCTTGGGTTTTTGGAGAGGGAGACAAGTTGGGAAGAATTTGAGAAAGAAAGCCGAAAGATCATTGCTTCAACTACCTATCATTGGTGTTTCCTCAACAAAGGAAGATACGGTGGTGAGTCGATGAGGTTGGGGTATGACACGTTGACATCTGTTCTTTTGGCTCTCTCCTATTGTGGAGTCCGAAACTTAAATGATAATTTTTTGTACAAAAAGTACTTTTTTAATGTTTTAAAAAGAAAAGGTACATTAATGGGTATTTCGCAGTTTTATACTGCGAATTGACTTAACGGATTTTTTGCCGTTAAGGCATTTTGCAGTATAAAACTGCGAAATATTAAAAAAATATTTTTTAAGACATTTCGTATTACAATACTGCGAAATAGGCTTATTTTAGGCCCCACCAATAATTAACTGACATAACAATAATTCAAATACATAATTCGCAGTATTATACTGCAGATTACTTTGAAAAATTGTACACCCCAAGGTCGGACTTGCCTTATTTATAGGCGCTTCAATTTTATAAAAATTCATTCAACACTTAAACTTCAAACATACGTTTATTCTCTCTTCTCCTTATCAATCAATATTTTACAATGTCTGAAGTGCCAAAAATAAGGGTTTCACTGTATTGGGGGGGTGAGATTGTGGTGGAGAATAACTCTGTGAGGTATAGCTCACCTCCACAGTGTCATGTTAAATTGCCACTTAATATGGAGTACGATACATTGGTATCGTTGCTACGTAAAAAAATGAGTGAGCGGAGGCGTTCGGTTAGCCTTAAAGTAACCGGTAGATTTCCTTATTCAGTGACTCCGCAGGGGTTTGCTTATTATTCTGAGTTTAACATCGAGGATGATGAAACTCTTAGAGATTTTTTGCGGATTCCGGATGAATACAGGGAATTTATTGTAATAAAATTATTGGAAATGTACGTCAAGGTGGAAGACGTTCCTAGTAATGAGGGCGTGCATAGCAGGGATAACCCCCAATCATCGGGTGGTTATTCTGGAGCAGCGTTTGCCGGACAGATTGGAGATGAAAGAGCTTGCCTTGATTTAAACTTGTCACCACAGGCGAATGAGCAGCCAGAAAATAATGTTTCCACTTTATATAATCAACAAGACGACTGGTAAACTTCAATTTTACTACGTTTAGTCGATTTTTTTTTCTATGTTTTATTTGGATTTGTTATTAACACTCATATTTTTTATAGGGGGTACCGTCCGGATTTGAATTTTTCAAGTTATGACCTCGCCCCTAGTTGGAATCTGCGTAGGTCTGGAGTATTGGACCACGGTGGTCCATCTGGGAGTTATCACCAACCTGAAAATATCCATCATGAAACGTCAAGACAATACGATTTGTAAGTAAAGTGATATAGCGATATCTAAAGTATTTTTCCTGAGTATTGGGTAACTTAGGTTTTTGTTCGTTTTGTGCAGTGAAAACGAGCTTCTTGAAGCTCCTGGCCTCACACAGTTGCCCATAGACGACGTTTTTACTCGTGATTTGGCAGATGCGCAGAGTCAGGAGGATGATAGTGATTATGACAACAATGCGGATGAGTCTGGGGATGAGACACCCTTCCATGATGAGGGTGATGAGGAGGAGGAGGAAGTGAATGTTGAACCTGAGCTGACTAGGGAGCATGTTCCTCCACCTCCCGCTAGACCAAGAGTGTATGAGTCCCACGTGCCATTTCATGAGCGAAATATTCCCTACCTTGATAATTTGCCAAGCATGCCTAACGTTGATGCCCTAACAAGGGATGATGATGAATTACGGTCAGTGATGTGGGATGAATCTAGACCAGCTGTTCTTACAAAGGGCATGTATTTCCCCGATAAAGCTCGCCTAGTTAGGGCTGTAAAAATCTACAGTATAAGGGAGTGTCGTGAGATGACGGTAAGTGAGTCAACTACGGAGAAATACAATGCTGTATGTCGTAGGTGGTTTATGGGTTGTCACTCGATGCTGCGTGCCACAAAGAAGAAATCAGGTTTGTGGAAAGTGGGTAAATTTATTAGCGAGCACAGATGTGAAATGGACACATTCAATGAGAATCACTTCAACTTGGATGTGGACTTGATTTCCCTTGTCTTGATTTCATTTTTGGAAGTGTCCATTAGGTTCAAGATTAAAGAGTGTATTACAGCCGTCCACCAGGAGTATGGTTGTACTATAACCAAAAGAAAGGCATATCTCGGTCGCAAACGTGCCTTTGAACTTATTTATGGCGACTGGGATAAGTCTTTTTCAAATTTGCCCAGGTACATGGCTACACTGCAACACTTTAACCCCGGGACTGTTGTTGAATGGAGGAGTGAGCGATGTCCGGACAGACCGGAATATATATTCAACTATGTATTTTGGTCATTTAAACCAGCAATTGATGGTTTTGTGCATTGCCGTCCTGTAATTTCCATAGACGGTACTCATGTCTATGGAAAGTATGATATTAAGCTTTTGATTGCAGTTGTTGTAGATGCCAACGGACAAATATTTCCAATAGCTTTTTGCCATTTGTGCCAACGAAAGTGAAGAGACGTGG